CACTTTCCTCCTTAAAATTACACCGTCAGTCCAGACGCGAAGGATACCACAGGACGTTTTCAAAGGCCCAACCAGCACCTCATTTCAGAATTTTTTTTCCAGAAACTTCACGTTGCTGCAGCATCACTTATCTGGGGTGAGCCACAGAAACTGGGATGTCCCTGTTTATCCTTCCAGCCTCTTGTCTGCTCTCTTTAGAAACACCAGACATTCTTGAGTTTACACTGCCCGAATCCAAGGCAAGCGCTTCGACCCTGTTTGAGGGTAGAAGCATGTCCCGAGAGCTGTTTGTGCCACCAGAAGGAGGGTGTTGGCATTCACAGCTTTCCCCCTCGCTGTTCTTACCAGCTCTGGAAGTGGACGGATTCCGCCCAGCAGAATCTGCAACCAGCAGTACAGAAATGCCCGAAAAGACACTAATACTGACAAGGTCAGGTTTCTGTTTCCATGAGCAACTCAAGCCAGTTGGAGCTCACACATTCAGTAACTGTGGTAAAGGAGACTGTTGGGGTACCAAACAATAATCATACAGTGTAGCAACGTTCAGGAGCTTAGAAAGGAATAAATTAGGTACCAGAATGACACAACTTCTTGGGCCTGTCCCCCCCCATGAACTGCAAGTTCCCATTTGTCCCAGACAGTCTCTGTTTCATCCCTATCTGAGGGGAGAGATTCCTCTACAGGTCAATCCTGTGCCCACATGCTACTACAGGCTACAAAGGAGGCTGGTCAGCAGGCGAGCACTGCCCGAACTCGAGGTGCCAACAAGGTGGAGAAGAGCAAGGACCACACCTGCTTGTTAACATTGACAGGCTGTGAGTGAGTCTTGGATAAAGAGACCATTTTGTCAAAAGAAAAACCAGGCAGATCATTTTCCTGCCAAGGAAGCTCATCATCAGGGAAATGGGGTATCTTGCTAATCACCTGGCAGCGCTTAATTTTCAGGAGAGACTTCAGCATTAGATCTCATTTTGAAAATTAAAAAAAAAAGGCAGGCAGCACTGCCCTTAACTGTTCATCAAGTACTGCAGAGACTCCAGACACCGTAGGGAGAAAAGGGAGGGGTTTTGGAGGGGAGAGGGGGCAGGAGGCCAACTCCTCCCTCTCCCCTCCGCGAGAGGTTTTGCACCAGTATCCCCTCCGCTGCTAGGAGGACTTAAAGGGCACTTCACCAACCATTCTGTTGAAGTCCTTTCCCAAACTGGTCTTCAGCGTTGGTACGGACCAGAGGCTGATCCTGCAGACGCCAAGAGGTCAGTGGGGACGGCTGCTGGACTCCAGGTGGGAGCGTTTGCCGGCCGCCAGCACGCTGCTGCTCTCCGTTTGTTCGGGGAACGGGCGCTTGTAGGTCCGACCGTGGCCGTTCATGGCCCCTCGCTGCCACTTGCAGATGTCTCCGTTTAGGATGTCCTGAATGTGCTGCACTATGAGGTTTATAGCAACTGCAGAGAGGAACGGGAAACAGAGGACACGCTTTCTTGGCCGAGCTATCTAGAAAATGCAGAGCATCCAGCCCTGTTCCACTCCAGTTCTAACAACGAGCCCTAAACGAACCCACGCCTGCCGTGAGGGCAGACCTCAACAGAAACCACCACCTGCAACACCAGCTGCTCCACAGCTCCCATCGCACGTCGCTTTTTTTCCAGCCCTCCACAGGCTGAGCAGCTGCTCACCCCAGCCAGGCTCTGAGCAGCTCCCCCCCCCTCCAGCCAAGCCCCTTTCCTTAGAAGCAGCACGCCAGCGAGGCAGCGGTGTGCCACCTGCTCCCCTCCCAACCCCAAAGGTGGTCTCCCCAGAGAAATCAGGCAGAGAACCAAACTCCCTTTTACCCATGTTGTCAACTCCTCGGGGGATGATCACATCTGCATACTTCTTTGTCTGCAAAACAGCAACGGTGGTGGAGACCGTTAACGGTGAGAAGTCATCTTGCTTCTAGGAAGAAGCTACCAAACGCCAGAAAGCTGGGGGCAAAGATGGGGAGGGGCTTCCGTGCTCTGGGGCTGCAAGTGACAGCTCTCAGTCATGGCAACACCTAAATGAACTGAGAAGTCATGCTGGCTACCGCGCACTGGATTTCAGGTCGGGGATTGTCCTTACTGCCCCTTTGCAGTGAATCAGCAGGGAGAAGCAGAAGGTCAGGTGTGGAGTACCTGCTCCGACACTTCTGAGGGGTACACGCTGCCCTCGGATGGGTCACCCGCTTCGAGGCCGAGGTCTGTTTGCTAAGAGCTGGTTCTAATCAGCATTTCACAAGCCATTGCTAAATCTCTGCTGAGAGCCAAGGTACCCAACGTGCATGTGAAACGCCTTCCTGCCTCTGACGACATTTCATTGATCGTTACCACCACAGAGCCCCTGCTTTTCACCCCCCTCCCCCCCACACTTACAAAAAGGCTGGCAAATTCAGCGTTTCTAACATGTGCTTTTGCCATCCCAGAATTGCTTCGAACCACAGCAAGAAGCGCCCGAGCGAGCCTCTTCCATCTTACTTAATCCACAGGCAGGATTTTGTTCTCAAAGAGGTTTTTTGCAAATTACTTTAATTACACGAGCACCTAAACGGGCCCCGCGCTGCACGGCGCAGCACGCGCACACTGTAATGCTCTGCCCCAGGTTTCCACCAGCGTTCCCTGTTGAGAGAGAGTCTGCGGGAAACCAAGCTCCTCTCTTCCTGCCAGACTTCAGGATAAATGCAGAGTGGGAGCGTTTCAGTCGCAGGGACCCCTGCCAAAGCAGCCCCGGCAGCGGGGCGCAGCCCTAGGGCTTTCCGCGGCGCTCTGCAAGCAGAAGGGACCAACCGTTCAAGTGCCCTCAACAAGCAGCTCGTAATGGTTAAACGGGTGAGGCGGAGGGGAGAGCGTGGGGCTCGTGAAATACAAATATCAAAAGCCACCACTGCAGCACCCACAGTGTAACTAATCCCCAGGCAACCCTGCTCCTCGTCTTCCCCCCCCCCAAAATAAACCCCTGCACAATCCAACCAGTGAAGCATTCGGTACCGGTAAGCAGAACTCCTCAAAGGCAGGCTTGACGAACGTGGTGTACTGGGTGAGGATCTGCTCAAGGTCCCTCCCACGTTTCATATCTCGCAGAACTGGGATGGGAAGATAAAACCCGTGAGCGAGGGTGGCCACAAGCAGGCTGGCGCTGCCCGCGACGGCAGGGCGTTACCTCTGCGGGACAGCCGGACGTCGGAATCCGTGTCGACAAAGAGTCGGAGATGGAACATGTCCCGAATGTCTTGGTTGTAGAAAACCAGGATGCCCTCGAAGAGAACAACGTCAGCTGGATAGACCACCGTCGTCTCTGCCAGCCTGCCAGGAAAAAACACCCAGAGCACGTTGTTAAACGGCTCTTGCACCACGGTCGAGCAGCCCCTCCCCAGGCCCAGCTGGGGACCTTCCCATCCACACCCCCAGGCTCCACGCGAAACTGAAACCTACCTAGAATGGGTCACAAAGTCGTAGGTTGGTACCTCAACCGTCTTCCCCTCAACAATATTTTTCAGGGTGGTATGCATCAAATCATTATCAAAAGCATCTGCAAGAGGAAGGTTTAAAGAGGAAGATGTTCAGGTGCTGCTGATGTCAAATGTCCTGCTCAGATTTTCTAGACCCAGAGGAAAAACTCTTGTATTACACCAGGAAAACAAGGAACTTGGCACTTTATTCTTTCCTACCAGCAGCAACCCAACACTCCCTGCCCAAACCGGACCCGCTATACTTGGTTACAGAGATAACACAGAACTTGCTGTTTATAAGCAACTACAATACAATGAAATTAGGAAAGCAAATGTGAAGCTGGTAATTGTATAATTCTACCGAACCACTTGGTAATTGCATATTTTTGTGTAACTCTTGATCTGAGAGTAATTTAGAAAATCTTGGACATCTTGAATGCTTTTCAAGAGCGTGATCCACGCCAGGTAACCTACAGCAGGCTCCGGACTTCAGCCAGGAGCAGGTCGCTGTCCCGTTTGCCAACCGTAGCGCTCCCCCTGAGCAAGGGGGGGCAGCTGTTCGCACGGGCAAGACACCCCAGGGAAGGATTTGGGGAACGCTGTGGCTTATTCCAGCCGAGGGTAAGGAGACAGACACCGTGCGGGCCGGGATGCTCTCCCACCTCCCCAGCGTCGCTCTCTGGAAGGCGCGCCGGAGCGGCAGCGATGCACACAGGTGAAAGACAAACACGTTTTGGTGGGGGAACAGAGCGTTTCTGTTACCCAACACCTCTCGCTTCCTACAAGCCCTTGCAGAAAAAGCCCAACCGCGAACCCAACCGGGTTACGGGCGGCTCACCCGGGTGGTCGAAGTTGTACTGGCCCTTCAGCGCCTTGGCCTGCTGCTCGGCGCTCAGCACCTTGTAGAAGCTGTCCTGGCTGAGGATGAGCACCTTCCGCTGCCGCCGCTCCACCTCGTTCTGCCCCAGCAGCTCCATGATCTTCTCGCAGACTGTGGACTGAGCGGGGAGGGGGCGCTCAGGCAGGCCCGGGGGGTTCAGGCAGGCCCGGGGGGG